TCTTCGGAAGGAACTTCACGGACTCACTTCAGCTTCATGATGGACCAGATCTTCCCTACTGGTCTGGTGTTGGCAACACAGAGAAGATGCAGCAGCAGCTGGCCAAGAAGCATCATCGTGAGTTCATCCTGAGGGAGAAGATCAACCAGGCTCACAACACCAAGATGGCTAAGCCGGTTCGTTATGTACAAAAGGTACCAACCACCAGCCGATTTGAGAGATCACATCAAACTCTGGATGTCCCTCGTCGCAAAGTTGCAAGGTGGTATGGCCCTGCTCGGATCCTGGCTCTGGAGACCAAGGTCAGCTATTACCTGGGTCATTGCGTCTGGAAGGTTGAAGAAGGTGCACGTGAACCAGCTCCGACGCGCCTCAGAGAGAGAGAGAGAGAGATTGGTGGCACAAGGCACGACTCAACTGACGCTTCCTTGGACATTCCTAAGATCTGACTGGCTTGATCAACTTAAAGGAGAATATGATTCCATGACAGATCGCCAGCAGAGAGAGGAAGCCAAGGCTGACAGCAGAAGAGAAAGCTACCGCCCCAAACGAGGACATCAACAAGTTTGTCCGAGAGCTCTACAGCCAGCAGGATGAGAAGGTGTCAGTCTATGACCTGAAGGCACTTCAGGACGATGACGTCGTGGCTGTGGGCTGGAGCGATGCGGCGCTCGCAAACCGCATCGACCTGTCCTCGACAGGTGGCTATGCGGTCGGCTTTGTGAACAAGAGCATGCTTCAAGGGCTCCAAGGCATGTTAGCTTGATCAGCTGGAGCACCCGCAGCGCACGGCGTTGCGAACTTCCTCAAAGGCAAAGGTTGGTCTCAGCAGCCAAGAATTTGAAGAAGAAGGAGATGGCTGCGGTAGACTCCGAAATCACGGATCCTAAGGATCCAACGTGGTTGGAGATCCGCCAGCGAACTTCGGGGCGTCTGAGTTTTCTCGCCTCGGATTTGATAAGTTCGCTTCCGGATCGTTCGGTTTGGGATCCATGGCATGAACCGCCGCCATGAGGGATCCCTTTGGCCACTGTGGCACTAGATGCCCACGCTCAGATAGCTGACCGGACCTGCGGCCCCGACCGTCGCCATAGGTGGAAAAGCCCGCCGCGCACGCATCGAGAAGTGTACCAAGTTTACTTCGCTTTCGAGTGCCACTGGCTACCTGACAGTCCAAGCCACATCCGTCGGAAGAACTGGCAATTCGAAAACGCATTGGAAGGGCTTGGGTTGAATCAACAGCCAAGGCAGACTGATTCATCTTCATCAGGGCGGACTGATGCATTGTTATTGATCTGCTCTGCTCCGAGGGAAACATCGGGATTGTTCAATCGGGTTGTACGGTTCACCTTGCGCAGCTGCTCGTCCACATATTCATAGACACCAACATCCTACAGCGGAGTGTGTATACTGAGTTCAATCACTAGCTCTTAATAGTTACAGTAGTTGACGTTGAATGTTCTGACTCTGACTCAAGTTTGAGCTTCTTGAAATCACAGTCCTCTTCGGCTATCAACACCATTGTAGATCTGTTGCTTGATTCGATCCTCTGGCGCTTGCCCGAAGCGTCGCTCATAGGCTGAGAGTTCCATGAACTTGGTCTTTGGCCCACGTAAACCTGTAACACATTCCTCTTGAATGTTGAGTTCTTCCCTCAAAGCCGCGCTCAATCTCAAAGAAGGAATTTCAATCTTGCGTGCCATCAACACACCTCTTTGCGCCAGGAACTTGTGATTTGCCACAGGATCACCATCCAACTTCTTGCAACCGTCCACCATACTCCACTGTCTGCAGGGTTGCGAAGTAATTTTCATCTATGAACAGTCAAGTACCCCATACCCGTACCGCGCCCCATACCCTGTACCCGTACCCTTGTACTTGTACCCCACACCGCCCCGTACCGTACCCCCGTGCCGTACCCCCGTACCGTACCCCCGTACCGTACCCCTGTACCGTACCCTGTACCGTACCCCTGCACCTGCCCCTATGCACCCTGCGCCCTGTGTACCAAACCTGCTGCTAATCCAGATTTCTGGCAGAAAAGTATGATTCGTCGCAAATTTGGTACATGGTACATAGATATGGTACATGGTACATGGTACCGGGTACACGGGTACGGTACAGGGGCACGGTATGGGGGGGAGGGAAGATGGAGGGGAGCGAGACGGGAGGTGCATGGGTGGGGGCGGGGACGGGGAGGAAAGATGGAGGGGAGCGGACGGGAGGCGCATGGGTGGGGACGGGGCTAGGGAAGATGGGGCTGGGGAGGGAAGATGGGGCGCGAGACGGGAGGCGTGCGATGGGGTGGACGGCTGGGGAAGGAAGACGCGCCTCCCGTCTCGCTCCCCTCCATCTTTCAGCCGGCCGACCAGACCATCCAGCACCAAGGCGACCATTCTTTAAAGCATTGAGAACCCCTAACAGTAGGGGAAAAACCAGGTGACGGAGGCCTGAGCGCCTTTAGTTAAAGGCCAAGGTTCCAAAGCCACGAAGCGACGAACAGGTCGAAGTGACAGCGGTCGCTCGCTCACAGCACATGGATGGTCCCCCTGCTAACAAACAATGTAAAAAGCCAGGCAGTACATTCCAAAAGGATCCCTGTGATCTCAAGCACACTCACTTAGGAAATGCGCGCGGAATGGACGGCGGTTTGCCACTCGCCGGTCTAGATAAAAACCTAACGGTCCAGGCGAAACAGAAAAATAAGTTGGAGGCCATCACATCTAGCTTGGAGGCCATCGCATCTAGGTGGGAACCATCACAACAGCTTGGAGGCCATCGCTAGTAGGTTGGTTGCAAGCAGACACGAAAGCGGTTGAAAATCGTATCACAGCCGGATTCAACAGGAAAGGCGGTTGGTGGTCATCGCCTTTATGTTGGAGGCCATCGCATCTAGGTGAGGGGCCAGCGCAGCAGGTTGGAGGCCATCACTAGTAGGTTTTCTGCAAATAAAAGCGTTCAACGCGCAATCAAGTGCCCATTTCCAAGCTTTGATTGACAAGCGACCGATTGAGTAGGTAGAAGTAGAAGTTGTTCCACACGGTGAGCGATACAGAGGAATCGCTCTAGGTAAGCTAGGCAAAAAGCCTCCCGTTCTAGGTAAAGTAAACAAAAAATTAAGCCTCCTGTTCTAGGGAGAGAGACGGACAAATTGCTCCATTAGGGTAGGGTGAAGGAAGTCTGCCGACGAAATCTGTGGCCAGTTACAGGTCCGTACATCCTTTTGAGCAGACGTCAAAACCCACTGAGCGGCAAAACATTGAGACAAAACTCATTGTGTCTCAAAGCCATTGATCACCAAGTGCGTGAATGGAAGACACGTGCGTGAGTGGAATCGTTCAACTCTTGGTAAGCAAGCCAGCCTGACCAAACATGCGCAACGCCTTCCTGAACTTGCGAAGTTCGCTTAGCGATTGATTTGCGTTCACATTGTTTGTTTGTGTGTTCACTCACTGTTTTTTGCGACGTGTGCCGCGTTCATCTAGATCTTTGAAGCCACCATCCTTTTGGCGGGAGTCGACTCCTGCAAGGGTACAATCTTGGACCATAGCTGACCACCCTGCAAGCCATTCCTTTTGTGTTCACGTTAACGCGGAGAGACACTCATCAGTTCGCCAATCAATTCTTGAGAGAAGTGGTTCGCGCGCGTGAATAAAAGGTCGAGGACAGGGGGGCAAACGCGTTGGGCCTGTGATGTAAACCAATGCTTTATTAGCGTTAAACATAGACAGACATCAAAGTGCATTTATTGCCCTTTGCAGAACGCCCGCCGCAGAGCCAGGCACGTGTATGACCCAATACGCACTAGCAAGCGACATCGCCATCGCTTCCCGAGGTCGCTGCCCTTAGAGATCCACTGATCTGTGACCGTTCCGAAGTTCAGCTGCGTCAGTTACGATAGCCCCTGTCCTGAAATTCAACAAGAGCACTCAGGTCCCAAGGACTGCAACGCTCCTAAAAGAGATCTGCGACGACTGCTCGTTGTAACGTTCTTACCGAAGTCTTTGGCCGACAGTGCGCGCAAAGCCCATGCCGAAAGGAATTGAAAGAAAAGTCACGCGTCGCAGTCTACTCCACTGAGGCGCCCGCAGGCGCCACCACCACAGCAAAAAGGACCTCTCAGATCTGGCTCCAGAATTCAGGCAGGCCAAAACAGGAAATGGCATTGTGTAAGTGCTGATTTCGGACGACTGCGCACATTGAAATTTGGCAATTTCGACTGCTCTTCTTGACGACATTGCGCACTTTGGCCGCCTTGGCCACTTCCACGGTCATTTTCGACGACAGTTGCACACTTTGGACCCTTCCACTTTGATGATCTTTGATGTTCAACAGCAGTTACACACTTTGGCAACTTCCAAGTTGAAACCAAAAGCTTTGCCCACACATCTCAAACAACCGTCCACATTCACCTGATCTTTTCGACGACGGTTTCACACTTTGGAAAGTTCCACCTTGGTTTGCAACGGCAGTTACACACTTTGGCCACTTCCACCTTATGTTTGACGACAACTACACACTTTGGTGACTTCCACCTTGGTTTTCGACGACCGTTGTGCACATTGGTGACTTTGATTTTCGACGGCAGCTACTCATTTATAAATAGGCAGCTTTCGACCTTGCTTCTTGACGGCAGTTGCGCACTTTGGCAACTTCGACCTTGATTTCCGACGACAGTTGGACACAGTTCAACTTCCACCTCGAAGTGGACTTAGCTAGCTCTTCACTTAGCTGCACTACGCGAGCTCTTGAACTACGCTACTTAGCTGGTTTGTTTATGCTAACTATTGCAAGAACTGTTTGAGCTAAATTTTGTTTGATTATGTCCGCACGTGTGTATACATATATATATATACAATGAAGGTTGGACCGTTGGAAAACCTGTTGTTGGTGACTGCACTGATGCAGCTCTGGTCGTCGCAGCTTTGCAAAGCACAGGAATCTATGGCGATCGTGGGGCGTTGTGTCATGATGTAGCGGTGGGTCGTTGAAGTGCTGAGGAGTCGCAGCCACACAAGTTCTTGGCAAGGAGCACTTCTGTTTCTTCGCGATCTTCAACGTTTTTGGCTCAATTGGCCAAGTTATTTGACCTTGCGTTGTTTTGCGTGGCTGCCTCAGCTGCTGAGGACGGCGAATTCGAGCAACAGCCATGGCTTTCAACTCAGTGACCGATGCTTGCAGAAGAGGTGGGTCCGGCGGGTCATATTTCTACAGGGCGCGTCCGATGTATACAAGACGAGACCAGAGGTCCTGTACGCGTACGCGCGACCTGCTGCAGGCAGTGTTAGGCGATCAGTTGAAGTTCAATTGGGCGCGGTTGCGTCGATTAAAAGATCCAAGGTTGCTTGATCGAAGGTTGAGGTTGAGGTGGGCACCCGGTGTGGCAAGACATGCCTCCCAATGCCAACTGAACTATATTCGGACATGAACCTAGACCTCCATGATTTGCGTTGCAGGCAGCCAGGCGAGTAAACGTAGACTTGCAGCGGTTTGGTAATAGAGCTCCTTCAGACCCTCAGGCGGAGAGATTCAAAAGGCGCTTGATTTGCTAGAAGAAATGCAGCAGGCGGATTTGTTGCATTTGCTCACCACGTTGAAATCTACAATGCACCTCCAGGCGGATTTTGACCCCGACGTTGAAATCTACAATGCCTCGACCCCATCCTTGGCGCCAAGAGCGTTGCAACCTGGCTAGCTAACACGACCAACGGCTAATTTGTTCGAGTTTAAGGATCTTGTCAGTGGATTGCAGCCCGGAAAAGCCAAACAGGCCAGGCGCTTCTGCTTTGACAAATTTTGGTGAAAGAGGGCCTTTGTTTCGGCAGACTCCACCAGCTATCCGGCAAAGCTGGTCAATGGCTCCTGGCAGCTTCAGAATTGTGAGGCTTTGTGTTATCGTATCATTTTGTGCGCGTGTTCTTCATGTTCATACGGAAGAAGTGGGGTTTCTGGCGAAGGTCGCTTCCAGGGAGTCATTCTGGACATGTCTCTATCTCAAACCTTTGGAGCCAATGATATGATATACTGACCTGCCAGCCTAGGCCAAAAAGCGTCGACAAGTTCCGCCGCCGTAGGTCAGACGAGCGGCGTTCTTATTGTTGTAGACAGCCCAACAACATGGTCACTGTATATTTTTCCCTCAGCGCAAACACTTCTTGATTTTGGACAGCAGGGATTCAGGGCGCGTGGCGGTGGAAGCCATTGCCCCTGCAGATCCTACTATCCCCAGCTGCGGTATTCCACAGACTGCGGACCAACATGAAGGCAAAGCATTGGTCAACTGTGCCCACCAATCCATTAACAAAAGGATCTGGCCGCGTGTTACAAACAGAAGATGCGCAGTCTGGAGTGATTCCCGGAGAACACGAAGCAGAACCAACATGCATCCGATCTGTTGTAGATCGGCTGGTAAGCCCCAGACAGCATCCGTACAAGTCAGGGCGCACAAAAAGACGAGCCGTGAGATTCAAGCCAGCTAAGTCCTGGCCCCAGCAATAAGTGCCACTCATAGATGGCCATCCCAACACCCAAACAAGGTCAAAGATGTTGTTGTCAAAAGTGCCTCTGAAGGGATCCAGCCGAAGGCATCAGGAGCCAATGGAAAAGCCATCTCAGTCGATGTGTCCGGGCTTGCCATTCGCGTCTCTAATAGAATCACAGCGCTGTTCAGTGGGATGTCCGCCTGAGATCCATCTTCTTGGGATAGCGCCAGCGTTGGAGGCAAGTCGCCAACGGATGGTATAGCACACCTGCCAGTCAATTCAGCGCCTTCAGTCCATCTCAATGATAAACGCGCGGCCTTGCAAATCCTGTGGCCCGTAAAGAGGCCACAAGGAGCGCCAATCAAGTAACGCCCAACTAAGTGTTAATACTGAACGAAGCTAGACAGCTGCATGAGTCACGTGCTCAATTGTACAGACTGAAACACCAACGAAGGAAGCGAAAGGAAGTGCCGCAAAAGAAATCCCGGAAAACGTCCATATAACGAAGATCGTCCGTGGTGTTGGGACGACTCCCGAGGTTCTGCCGACACGGCTGCGCTGCTGGTAAAATTCTAGCCTAGGGTTCCCAGCAGACTCGTAACTACAACCTGACTGACGCTTGTTTCTCCCGGTGAAGCTTCTGATAAGATTTACGCAAAGCAATCACAGATCAAATTAACCATGGAGGCGAGCGTGAACTACCTTGAGTTCACGTAATTGCTGGATCAAAAATCAGGCCCCAGTGCGACGCTGCCGGCTCAAATGTTGACTGCGCTCTAAGATTTTGATCAGTTGCAGTGGGCTTTTAATGGCACATGATGGGCCCCTCTAAAAGCAGACAGAGGCCTTTGGCAACTTAGCGCTAGGTTTGCAAGAGATTTGGTTTGATTGCGTTTGCGCTGCGCGTTTAGCAGGTTGTTGCTGATATAGCTGGCCCTTCAGTGAGGATTTGGTGGGAAGGCATCGCGCCCAACTGTGGGAGTTTTATTTTTGTGCATGTTGCGTAGGTGCTAAACTGCTAAACAGTCTGTGCATCTCCAAAGTCTGTAGGTTCTCATGGCTCGAAACCTGCAAGGACCCATATTGCTGTGGTACATGAACCCTAGTCGCCCTAGAAATTTACAACAATTAATAATTCCCTAGTATCCTGGAGAATCTGAGGAGTGAGCAGTTTGATGGGGCAACAAAGTTCTCGGACAAGGCGCTTGTTTCTGAATTTGTGCAAATTAGCGAAAAAATGAACCAAGCAGCAACCAAGATTTTGACACTCTTTTGCTGGGTTGTCTCGGTTGTCTCTTTGGTCATGGTTTACGGTTTACTAATTTTTATTGTATATTATGTATATATATATATATACACCGGTGAAAACTAGCATTTTGGCATTTTTTGGCATATGTTAGTCTAGTTTCCGAGCGGACACCGTTGAGACTAACCTAGACCAAATTCAGATGTGCCATGGTGGGCCCTACGGGTACTTGGCATGGTCCATGTTAGCCTCCACCGGGCTATGTTGACCTCTACCGGCGCGGTCTATGTTAGCCTGCGTTCAGTTTATAGTCAGAGTGCAGTTGGTCCATGTTAGTGTCAAAATCGATCATAGACTGAGAGTAGGAACGGTCCATGTTAGCCACACGCCTGACTCAGGTTTGTCGAAAGTTTGTGTCAGTGTGGACCAGGGACTGAGAGTGGAAGTGGTCTATGTTAGCCACATGCCTCACTCGATATCTGGAAAACTTAGTGTCAGGTTGGACCGTGGACTGAGAGTAGCGAGAGTGGGAATGGTCCATGTTAGCTTTTATTGGGTGGGCCCATATCTTCTCGCTTCCACGCTGCTCCACACTGTTCTGTTTTT